GCGGGGCTCGAACTCACGGACCGCGAGATCGTGACCTGGCTGAAGTCGGACGCTTAACCGACTGCGCCACCCAGGCGCCCCTAAAAAAAAATTTTTTTAAATCCATCCATGTTGTCACAAATGGCAAGATTTCATTCTTTTTTATGGCTGAATAACATTCCTGTGTGTGTGTGTGTGTGTATACACATGCATTTTCTGTATCAATTCATCCACTAATGGACATAGACTTTTTTTTAAGATTTTATTTTTAAGTAATATCTACACTCAACATGGGGCTCAAACTCAACAACCCCGAGATCAAGAGTCGCATGCTCTACTGACTGAGCCAGCTGGGTGCCCCAGATTTTAAAGATGTTTTAGGCCGATCACCAGCATGATGTGTGTTAGCACTGGAAGTATCTGATAAAGCTAATATATGGCCTTAGTTTTTAGATAATTTCATTCCTCTCTGCCTTGCTTTACAATGGGACATATTTAGAGATTATGTGGCTAAAAAAAGAACTATATGAGTTTAAAATTATCTAAACAAATAACTGAAACAGTAAAATGAATAGTAATATGAAATTGGAGTTGAACCAATTGTAACTGCCTATTGTGAGAGAATTATCTTTCTTCCCTGAAATAATTTCCTATCTCTTTAATGTGAACACATATTTCAAAACATTCTGATCAAATAAAAGAGAATAGTGCAGGGTGCCTTGGTGGTTCAGTCGGTTGAGCATCCGACTTCGGCTCAGGTCATGATCTTGTGGTTCACGAGTTTGATCCCTGCATTGGGCTTTCTGCTGTCAGCACAGAGCCCACTTTGGATCCACTGTCCCCCTCTCTCTCTGCCCCTCACCCGTGCTTGCTCGCTCTATCTTCTCTCTAAATAAATAAATAAATAAACTTAAAAAAAAGAGGGAGAGAATAGTATGGTCTAAGTGAGACTTCTGATGACACCTGTGAGTAGTTGTGAAAGAGTATAGATGAATGATTATCTATAATGACACAATTATTCTCAAGTAAAATGTACATTTGGTTTTGAAAAATAAATTTTGAAGATTATAAATAACATACATTTAACAAATATCACTTCATATTCAGTATATAATATTACAATGCAAATAAAAGCAATTACTTCAATTACCCTTTAAAATGACCTCAATTGCCACTGAAAGTACAAATAAAACAGTCATATATTCATGGCTTGTTATTTTTTTTTTAACTTTTTTTTTTTTTAACGTTTATTTATTTTTGAGACAGAGAGAGACAGAGCATGAATGGGGGAGGGTCAGAGAGAGGGAGACACAGAATCTGAAACAGGCTCCAGGCTCTGAGCTATCAGCACAGAGCCCGACGCGGGGCTCGAACTCACAGACTGCGAGATCACGACCTGAGCCGAAGTCGGCCGCTTAACTGACTGGGCCACCCAGGCGCCCCCATGGCTTATTATTTTAATCAGAAGCTACTGTTCCTTAAATAACCTGAAAAAAAAGTTTGTTTGTTTTTATTCAACACACAGCCACTGAGGGCCTACTATGTGTCAGTGAGAAATGGAAGATACAGAGACAAAGCATGGCCATTGCTTCCAGCTCTCAAGAAGCTTACAGACAAATGAAGAGCAGGTAAGCATGAAATACATGTTTTAGGTCCAAAATATCTATAACGGTAACAGGATGTAGGAGAGCAAAGAAAGGAGTGATTAGTTTCACCTAGGAAGGTTTTAAAAGGTTTCCTGACAGGACAGCATCAGAATCTAACAAAGAAGGAAGGTAAATATACTGTTTATGTGTAAATATCAATAAATTACAGCTACCGTTACAGTGCACACTTTATAAATGTTATTTCCCTAATCACAACAACCCTTTGAGACCAGCATTTCACAGTAGGAAAACAATGATGAGCAGGATAAATAACTCAGAGGTCACATATCTTGTAAATAGAAGGGCCAAGAAATGAGTCCAGGTTTGTGTAACTCGATATTCTTCCCACCACACCAGGCTGCCTAAGCTAAGCTTAAAGAACTTGTAAGATTTAAACAGAGAAAAAAAAAAGATTTAAACAGAGAAAAACAAGAAAACAGAGAAAAATACAACAGACAGAAGAGACATAAACATATAATTTATGAATTATCTTAGTAGGAAAGAAAGTACTATCTTTGTAATATATACATATAACATGAAGTATCTATTTATACATATACATACATACTAATAAAAGATATAATGATATAATAAAACAAAAATAAACTAGGATAATTTATGAATTACATTGTATTTTTTAATTTTTTTTTATGTTTATTCATTTTTGAAAGACAGAGAGAGACAGAGCACAATCAGGGGTGGGGCAGGGAGAGGGACACAGAACCCGAAGCAGGCTCCAGGCTCTGAGCTGTCAGCACAGAGCCCGACACAGGGCTCAAACTCACGAACTGCGAGATCATGACCCGAGCCGAAGTCAGATGCTCAACCGACTGAGCCACCCAGGCACCCCTGAATCACACTGTAATTTAAAATTCCATGGGGCACCTGGGTGACTCAGTCAGTTGAGTGTCCGACTCTAGATTTCAGCTCAGGTCATGATCCCAGAATTACGGAATCAAGCCCCACATCAGACTGCATGCTGGGTGTGGAGTCTGCTTAAGATTCTCTCCCTCTCTCTCTCTCTCTCTCTCTCTCTCTCTCTCCCTCTGCCCCTCCCCAACTCACGCTCACAATCTCTCTTGCTCTCTCTCCTAAAAAAAAAATTCCATACTCAAATCTACTTAAGACTATTCCACAATTGAGCCATAAAAAACTAAATTAAAATTTCAAAAATGTCTAATTTACAAATCTTTTAGTCACTACAATCATTCATCAATTAATTTTTTATCAAGTTTAACCCATTAATTAAAATAAATTTAAGACAACATACAAATAAACATAATTCATTAGACTAAGTACTTTAATTCCACTGTATTAAAAAAAACCTGTTTTCTTTCTTATAATTCTCTTTAAGCACAAGAATGTCATGGGGATGTTAAACATGGAGTCTGTAACATGAAGTGAATCACAAATAATCAAACTCTGCTTTTAACATTCTTTGAGAGAACAAAATTCTACCTCTGCATTGTGCTTAGTCGTTATTTCTAATTTTTCTTTCTTAGCCCGATGAAGTTTCTTTCTGAGATCAGCAGTAATATCCAAGTCTGTTTCACTTTTAAACATTTGTTTTACATCAGAGGAGGCATTCTTCAGCCTATAAAATGAGATAGTAAAATATAATTCTAAGTATAATCTCTAACATTTCTGATATTCTAATAACTTATTTTTCAGAAATCACAAGGAACATGATACAGTTTTTGCCCTAAAGAAACTTACAACCTAATAAAAGATGTTGATCGCAAAATCTAGGTAGAAATACAAAGGAGTGTATGGCTAGAAAGAAACCACCATTTCAAGATGGTACTTAAAGAATGATCCTATCACAAGCTGTGTAGCTTTGAAAAATATTGAATTCTTTTTCTTTTTTAAATACTATATTTACTTATCGCAAATGTAATAGATACATATTACAAAATGAAGTGTAAGTAACAATATAGATTCAGGCTTAAAAACAGCAGACCAGGGGTGCTTAAGTGGCTCAGTTATAATTGGTTAAGCATCCCATTCTTGATTTCGGCTCAGGTCATGATCTCACAGTTTATGAGATGAAGCCCCACGTCAGCCTCTGTGCTGACAGCATGGAGCCTGCTTAGGATTCTCTCTGACCTTCCCCCACTTGCACTTTTTCTCCCTCCCTTTCAAAATAAATAAATAAACTTATTTAAAAAAAATAACAGCAGACTAAAGCACTCTCTCCCCAAATTAAAATTAAAAAGTTAATGAAAATATCAGCAAAGAGTATTAAGAGATAAAAATCCACAAGGAGAAAGAACACAGAAGATGAGAAAATAGTAATAACATATTAGAAGTTAGAAAGCAGTTGGATAAGTGGTCATTGATTTACATAAGAGATTTGAATTTAAAGCCAAAAGTGGAGAAAGCAACCTGATTTACACCTGAGCCCCCAAAAGCTCAATTAATTGACAACAGCTTTGCAAATGGGATGAAAGTAGAGCAGAAAACAAGATTAATTGGTTGAAAGTCTGCCAAACAAATGAGATCCTCAGATTCTGTACCCTATACATGACACAACTGGGTACCAATCTCTTCCCCACTCTGGCAGAACACTAGGTAAGGGTTTATTCCCTGGAGAGGATAAAACAGAAGGTCTCTGGATTAGAGACATCAGATACAAATGGTGTAAAACCTCACACCAAAAATAGGAGACTCAAGTCAAAAATTGTGTAATAAGCGAGAGCCCAGGTCTTCTAAAACATCTTGCCTGCCAGAACAATGGCAGCCAAGGAGAGAATGGAAGGGTCTTCCCTAGAGAATCTAACCAGCAAGGTGAAAAAGACCTAAAGACACTGATGCTAGGGGTTCTCCAATGAACAGCTTAACTACATCATCCTACAGAGAATGCCACAAACACAAAGTCTTACCCACTGAGCTTCCAATCAGCTTGATAGGCCCTGCCTTTATTTTTTTTAATGTTTGTTTATTTTTGAGAGAGAGAGTGCAAGCAGGGGAGGGGTACAAAGAGAAGGGAACAGTAGACTGTGCGCTGACATCAGCGAGCCCAATGCAGGGGGCTCACTAATCGTGAGATGATGACCTAAGCTGAAGTCAGATGCTTAACCAACTGAGCCACCCAGGCACCCCTCTCCATTTATTTTTTTATTTTTTATTGTTTTAATTTGAGAGAGAGAGAGAGTGAGAGAGAGAGTGAGAGTGTGAGGGAAAGAGGCAGAGAGAGAGAGAGAGAGAGAGAGAGAGAGAGAGAATCCCAAGCAGGCACCACACTCAACGTGGAGCCTAACACAGAGCTCAATCCCATGACCCTAGGATCATGACATGAGCTGAAATCAAAAGTTGGACACTCAGCCGACTGAGCCACCCAGGCATCCCCCTATTTTAAATGTGAACAGACAGCTAAGGATCACCAGAAGTTAGGAAGCAAGAGTTAGAAAGAGACAAAATTGTGGGGGTAGGGGAAGAGTCCTCAAAGACTATGCAGGGGAAAGATAGCTTTAAAAAGAGGAAAAAAACATATCTTCAGACAAAAAGAGAAGGTCTAATATCCATAAAACAAAAACTGAATGTAATAAAGAAGGAAATAATCAGAGAACAAAAAAAAAAAAGAACTCTTGGAAATCAAAACACAAACTAAGAAAAGAAAGGCCAAATAAGTAAATGTAAAAGAAAAATCTCCTGGATGCCTGAAAAAAAATTCCAAGGGAAAATAATTTCCACTTAGAATTTTATGCCCAACAAGTTACTTTTCAAAGACAAGGGAATGAGAAAGTTCTAGTTCATACCTACCAAGCACCAAAACATTTACCTCCTATGAAGTGGCTGATGGAAGATTCCACTAAAATAAGGACTTAAACTGAGAAAGACAGGGGATCCCAAAAGTAGGGTAAGACCAAAAAAAAAAAAAAAGGCAGCAAAGGGACTTCCAGGATGGTAAAGAAAGGAGCACCAGGTAATAATTGGTCAGTAAAGCACAGCACTAAATGGCAATCTGTCCCAGCTGGAGTACTGGACTGGCCACAGCTTCCAGGAGTGATTTCTTGAAGAAGATGCAAACAGAACACAACAGAATACTTCCGGGGTATGGGTGGAACAGGTGAAGGGGATTTAGGAACATACTTATCAGGATGAGCGCCAAGAAATGTACAGAATTGCTGAATCACTATATTGTACAAGTGAAACTAACATAACACTGGGGCGCCTGGGTGGCGCAGTCGGTTAAGCGTCCGACTTCAGCCAGGTCACGATCTCACGGTCCGGGAGTTCGAGCCCCGCGTCGGGCTCTGGGCTGATGGCTCAGAGCCTGGAGCCTGTTTCTGATTCTGTGTCTCCCTCTCTCTCTGCCCCTCCCCCATTCATGCTCTGTCTCTCTCTGTCCCAAAAATAAATAAACGTTGAAAAAAAAAAT